AGTAAAGCTTTTGATCGGGTAGATCACGCCCTGCTGCTGATGTGTGTTAACAATCTGCAAGTGAGTCCACACATGTTGTTATGGATACACAACTATCTCGAACACAGACAGCAAAGAGTTGTGACCCACGGCAAGTTCAGTACTTGGCACACTTTAACATCAGGTGTTCCGCAGGGGGGTGTTCTCTCACCCTACTTATTTTTGCTCTTTATGAGCACTAGGTCACCGGTGTACATTTGCACACTAAATGTTGGCTATGCGACGACGTCAGCCTGTCGCGATCCCTCCACGTGGCTGTGGCAAACAGTGACAGGACAGTGGAGGAGGAGGCGACTCAGCTTGACATGTGGGCTAGTGACAACAAGATGATTTTAAATGGAAACAAGTCAGCTTATGCAAATTTGTTTTAACAGATCAGTTCCTGTCCCACCAAAGATTATCTTAGGGGGACAACAGGTGCCATGTGTTGAGCTGGCCAAGGGCTTGGGTTTTATATTGGATAAGAATTTGACTTTTCATGATCAGGTGATCTCTATGGTCACGAAGGCTTCGCGTAGGCTTCATTATTTAAGGCTCCTTACTAAACAGGGCACTAGTGTTGTAGATTTGATCCAGGTTGTACATCACACTTATCAGACCTGTACTTGAATATGGGCACGTACTACTAGTAGGGTTGTAATAAGGAGCAGGAAAGACTGATTGAAAGAGTACAACGGAGAGCACTCCGGATCATCTCACTGGGGGGAAGACGTGAGGTGCCTCCTCTGCCAACGCTGAAGGAAAGGCGAGAGGTGGCGGCAGTGAAACTACTGAAGAACATGCTGGACGAGGGTCATCCCCTCCATGACCTGGTTCCACCGGCTAGGAAAACGGCCACTGGGAGGACCTTAAGAAATGGAGCTGCACTCACAGTACCAGCAGCCCGCACCAAAAGACTGAAAAACTCTTTCCTACACAAGGCAATACGCCTGTACAACGAGTCATTGTAGCAATGACTTTCAAGACTCTGGACTTTACTTCAGTGCCCTTGTGTATTGTGTGATTTTGTAACATGTTCGTTTGCGTGCCTGTATATGTATTGTCATGTAAATGTGTATTTGTATCTACTATGTACAAAATTTGTAAAAATGAGTGTAATTCAGCTTGGTCGACTTTGTAAACTGGCTGCAAGGCTGATTTTATTAATAAAACTTGAAACTTGAACTACTCTCACCTCTCGAATAAAAGTACCCCCTGGAATAAAAGTACCCCCCGGACAAATCTTCAAAATGTAATAAAAGTACCCCCTGGAATAAAAGTACCCCCGGAAAATTTTAAATTGACATGTGTAAGCAATGTTTATGCTACTAAAATGTGTTCTCACGGTGTATGTGTCCCTTGCAAATACTGGTCCCAAATAAACATACCCCCGGAATAAAAGTACCCCCGAGAAATCTTCAAAACCTACTAGATATACCCCCCCCCCAGAATAAACATACCCCTGGAAAATTACCAAATTATCAGCCTGCATTCTTACAGGTTAATGAGAAGTACATGACTGTATATGTCGTGCAGTCTAATCTATATCTTAGTACATTATCCATCTACATTCTAACTTGAGAACTGACTCTGAGTTCACACATGCATTGAGCAGGAACAATGCTATCAAGTTTTGAAATAAGAGTCCTTGATTTTTAAGATTAAGAAAAATTACATAGAGTTTGAAGTTGAGCAGAAATTTACAATATGCTAAATACATGCTCTATACAAATTTGCAGTAATGTGTAAAAGCCATAGGGAAAAGAATCAAATATGGAATATAATGTTAGATTTTGAATGGTATTTCTTTTTTATACCTTTAAAAAACTTCAATCAGTTTTCAAACAATTGACACAATCCGCAAGTCACACACATAGTTCACACGATATCAACAATTTGCAACACTGCCACAATCTCAAGGGTCTCAGGTTTCACTTACAAAATGTAGCAAGCTTTGAGGTTAGTATGCAAATGATGGAAGGCGGGGCCACAATATATTTTTGGGAAGTTCTTGGAAGAATGGTTCATTCTCTGGTAGGGTTACAGGAACATTTTTAAACATTTTGATGTGTAATTGATATGAAAAGATTGCAACTTTTGTCATGTCAACACCATTTTATTTATTACTCAATTGTTCCATAATGTAACATCCATATGTGATTTATTAAGAAAGAGTTTTATTCACATTTAAAAATCATCATCATCATCATCAGGTCGGGCGAATTGCCCGGACCAAGTCCACTCTTTCTCGCCATGCCGCTCTGTCCGCCATTAACTGCCCTAGGTGTTCGGCCCTCACCCCAGCATCTTCGGCAAGTTGATCAATGAAGGTACGATGGGGTCGCCCTGCGCTGGAGTGTCCATGGGTTGGTGCCCAGAGTAACAGCTCACTGGCGAGCTCGTCTTTGTGTCTGTAGCAGTGTCCAGCAAATCTGGCCCTCCTCTCCCTTATGGTGGCTGACACAGATGGTAGAGTCCCATACAGTTCTGCCTTAGTCGGATGATTTTTCCAGCATTTGTTGAGCACTGCACGTAACATACGTGTGTACGTTCCGTCAAGTTTGTTCTCAAGTTTTCTTGTCAGTGTCCACGTTGATGAGCCATACAGAAGCACAGATTCCACCACCGCCCTGAAGAAATTCCTTTTAATGTTGTCTGACAATGTGGATTTCCATATTGTCCTTAGGTCGTTAAGTGCCCCCCAAGCTTTTGCTATGCGAATGCAGACGTCCTTCTCAGTGGAAGAAATGTCACCTCCCAAATAGGTGAAATGTTCCACCTCATTGAGATAGGTTCCATTCAGGGACTGAATCTTGCCATGTTGGTTAAAGCAGATATATTCAGTCTCTTTGGCATTGACATACAGTCCTATCCCGGATGCAGCCTCTTCCAGTGCATGTAGTAGGGTTTCCACATCTGCGACTCTGTTTGCAAGAAGCGCAAGGTCATCTGCATAGTCAGTATCTGTGATCCTCTTGGCAGGGTGCCTTCTACTCCTAGCTCGCTCCAAAGTGAAACCGAGCTTGTTGTGTGGGTCGACAGAGGTACGCAGAATATAATCTAATGCAATGATGAAGAGAAATGGCGCAAGGGTGTCCCCTTGTAGCACTCCAGCATGAATGTTGAAAAAGTCTGTGTCCCCGTCAGGTGATCGAACCATGGATCTTGTGTCCTTGTAGAGCATCATCACAGCGTCTACTGTTTCCCTCGGCACACCATAGGCTCTCAGTATATCAGCCATTTTCTCTCGATGAAGCGAATCGAAAGCCTTGGAAAAATCCACAAACAGCATGACAGCCTCCAGGTTTCTTGCTCTGACACCTCCAATGATTCTTCTCACCGTCAGAATCTGCCCCATAGTTGATCTGTTCTTTCTAAAACCATTCTGGTTTGGACGAAGGACTTTTTCAATTAATGACTTTTTCAATTAATGGTGTGAAAGTATTGGCCTGTTAATTTCGCTAAATATTGTTTTACAGATATTGATGAATGTGCAACTGATAGAAAAGATGTCTGCGATATAAATGCTACCTGTACCAACACTGACGGGTCGTACTCATGCCGCTGCAACATGGGATATGCAGGGAACGGTACATTTTGTACAGGTAAATTTTCTCACTAAAGCTTTGAGCAGATCTTACTACTAGTGTAGATTGGCAGAGTAAGAATTAAATCCACAGACACACGAAGTTAACGATATTGGAAATTCAAAACACTGAACACAAGGGTTGCTGATTTCTTTGACCGAAACGGCCATGTTATTTTGCAGATATTGATGAATGTGCAACAGGAGGTACAAATAACTGTGATCCAAACGCCACCTGTACCAACACTGGAGGTTCTTTCCTCTGCAGCTGTAATGAAGGGTTCGTGGGAGACGGTACAACATGCAAAGGTGCTCACATGTGTATTAATGTCATTAGAATGGATCTATTATAAAAACCAGATATGTAATTTTCAGATTCAAATAGAGTAATCTCATTTCTTAGTCTACGATAATGATTTTTGTCAAGGCACACATCGTATACAATTTTAGGTCGTCCTGACTCGTCCATATACACCATGTTATCATTTATATATTTATTTACCAACAGTTGAATTATTGACATATTGTCCGAGAACACGACGAAGGTACATCCTGTGGCCAGACACAGTCGGTGGGATGGTCTCCCAACGCCCCTGCCCCACAGGCACTGTTGGTGAGTTAGTAGCATTTAATTATAGATATATTATAAATACGTATTTTCATGCCTAAGTGCACGAAAAGTTTTTGCTGTTGATTTTAAATGCATCACCAACACATTGGTATATGAAACCTACCAGGCGTTGAAAGTGTGTGTTTCACATGCGTACATGTATCGTGCGTGCTAGTATCAGCCAGCGATCACCCTAGCGATCATTTGTACAATGCCATATATAGTGTAGAATCACATCGTCTTTCAGACCATCAAATAACCCAGGTGCGTTCTTTTTTACAGGTACTGCTCGCTGGACGTGCGGCAGTAACGGTACATGGGAGGGAGATCCCGACCTGACCGGATGTGTGTCAAGCTGGCTCCACGATCTTGTACGTGTCAATTATATCAGCAATAGATGCGAACATACACACAAAAATCCTCGGAATTATACCTGCAACGAAGTCATTGCTGTAGGTTCTTTTTAATATATACGTATACGTATCACAGCCAAACATAACATGCAAACGCCATTCAATTCTTTCATGTTAGTTCCTTCTATCCCAGGACTGTAGACTGTATGACATTTGTATATAAGACTTGTAACTAACCTATTTGTACCTAATGTAACATGTACATCATGGTATAGACCGTTCGGTTAACGTTGATAAGCCTCTTTTTAATCCGTGAAGATCTACAGAAAATCAGAGATGATCAGAAATACATGTAGATGTTGATACAATGGATTACCTTTCATTAACTGTTCCAATGTCCAGATCATGCTGTCTATTTCCCCCTCTCCAGAATACAGATCGACCCTCTAAGGACGTCCTCTTCATTATGGCAGAACATTTGGAACATCAAAAATTCATCTACGGCGGCGACGTCATCATTTGCACGGAACTGCTTAACCAGATGGTAGACAAACATGAACAGGAACTGGACCATGCACCATATGAACATAAGAGGCACCTCGTCATTAACTTTACTGAGGTATGCGAATATTTTATTGTGTGGTCCGTTGTGCGAATGTTAACAAAACTATATTCCAGTAAACATGACTTGGGTCTCTATCTTTAACATCATCTGCCTGTCAAACTTAACATATCATTATGTATGACTTTTAATCTCGATATCTTTATTCCCTGATAGTCGATGCTAACATGTGGAAGTGCTCTGTTGAGAAAAACCGATGCCTGGAGCGACATTCCTATGGTCAGTGTCTAAATCATATGTATTGTTACAGTAACCGTCGATTTTCTTTTGTCTTGCCTTATCAAATATTTCTACGTTCTTTATTACTCCTGCAGGAACGCCGGTTCCAACTGGCTCCAGAAATCATGGACAAAACTGAAAAGTCGAGTCTTCTCATGGCGAAGAATGTTAAACCCGATGAGACTGTCTCATTCACAAGGGACAATATAGGTAAATTCCAGTTTAGATGTCATGAAGTCTAAAAGACTGTAATTGTCACTACCTGTGTGAATAAATATGTAAAAAAGAGGTATGTATGTGAGAAAGTTACTACCTGTGTCAATTAAAGAATGTCAAATAGTCTTCTAGTCATCAAGTCTTCTGTGATGTCGTCTCATAGTGATGGACATAGTCGCCAAAGGCAACGGAATGGCCATGGACTTTCCACACCGCACGGCCATGACAAAAGACAGATCCTCCATTTTGAAAGGCATAGCGGATACAATCACGGTCCCCGGAACGAAGCATCGAGTCATCGCCTCGCTCTACAGGAACATTGACCAATATCTGCTACCCAAGCGGGCTGAGATCCCAGGCATGAATGAAAGTGGTTTGGAGATGAACAGGGTCCTCTCCCGAGTCATCTCCGCAACCATCGTGAATGACGGTCAGCCGGTTACGCTCAACGGCGGTACTGTCACCGTATTCCTGCAACACAGCGAGGTATGTAACATCTAACTATTCTCACAACGCTACTTTTAGAATAGATGACTAAACGTAGAGAGATATGCCATTCTGTTAATCACCAGTAAGAGGTAGAACTAACACAGAATTGTAAAATTTTACAGACGGTCAACGTATCGACGATGTGTGCATCTTGGAACTCTGGGTGAGTGTTTTAGATTTCTATCTCCGTAATCCATATATATCAATATAGAGGAATTACCGTTGTCAAGCTCATCTGATTGATATAGGCATTTTACTTTACTTCATGAAAAAACAGAATGGGATCTGGCCAGATATAAACTTTGCAACCCTCACCTTTGTCAAAAATAAATCGAATCGTGTTTCTGATCCATTTACACTTTGATTTCAGTGGAAACTGGTCTGCAAAAGGATGTACGGTGAAGAAAAATACCACGACATATACTCTCTGCGAATGTAACCATCTCACCAATTTTGCAATTCTCGTCGATGTAACAGGGCAGCAGGTGAGTGTAAGGAAAATGTCATCCCCCACGTCAACCTTTGGAGAGGTTGCTTAAGGTTAACGTTAATGACGCGCTTTTTCCTTTGTGTTTACGGTTATACATAACTACCCAATAAACTACCATGTAAGCGAAACGTTATCCATCATATAGCCAATTCAAACATTGTTAAAATTCCATCAGGTGCGCATTGTTGAATGATCTTTAGGGCACTGCTTTCTTTCTCATTAACACACGTTTATGAGTTTATGGTTGGATAGCCTGATACGTAAGCAATGTAGTCTTTGACTCTTGATATTGGTCCACACAGCTGCCTAACTATATCATAACAAACACAGATTGAAGATTTGTCTTCTCTGATTCGAACGAAGTCAACTGATTCGGTGAAAAAAGCTGTGTATCTTAAATTTTTCTGTAATGACTGAGACGGCATAGGTATGCCTAAAGGAATCATCTAACCATCCCTAAAATTAGCACACTAATCTAATTACCATATACATCACCACATGACTTGCGGGGTCTGTTTGCTAATGACCATTCAATGTCATGCATGTACAGGATCTGTTTGCGCTGCATGTCATCACCTACATCGGCTGCATCATTTCTATCGTGTGTCTCTTCATCTGCATCTGCGTGTTTCTCGGATTCAGGTAACGAGTTCATCAATTACAAATAGCATTTTTTTTCTTTAGCGGAAAAATTCATTTTTATTTTTATCTATTTTTTATGATGTTACTGCTGATGATAACAGCGATATCGATGATGTTAAGTTTGATATGATGTTGATGATGCTGATTTATGATGACGCTGATGCCGGAAATAGTAATGTTGTTGATGGTGATGATAATGTGAGTGATGATGATTATGCTGGTGATAATGATGATCAGTAGGGATGATGATCCAAGAGACTGTTTCCATCTTGTTCCAGACGAGTCCGTTGCGCCCGAACCATCATCCATGCAAACCTGTGTTTCTGCCTGCTGGCTGCTGAATTCGTTTTTCTCGTTGCCGTAGACAAAGTCCACAATCCGGTATGGCATCAGCTATGCTACATGGTTAAAGTTTGTTTGAGTTTGCACTTTCACGCCAAAATATGAAAAGCTCCTTGTTGGTTTGTCTGTCTTGTCAATCCTTCTGGACGCCGATCTAATCTGGCATGTTACACTATGGTATGGTAGTAAATCCGTATTATGGCGTAATAATAAAACCACTTCAGAGAAGAGCTTACTGAGTCTGTTAAAATTCCGCAGGTTGTCTGTGACGTGGTCGCGATACTCCTTCACTACCTGTTCCTGGCCGTGTTCACCTGGATGTGTGTGGAAGGAGTGGAGCTGTACGTCATGCTCATCAAGGTCTTCAACCTGAAAAACACCAGGCTGATCTTCTACCATCTAGCCGGCTACGGTACCACCTTCTTTTGCTTTGTAACAAAACGGATATTGTTGTGTGCTTTTCATATAACATGTGTTTTGAGTATGGTCGTAAAAGCTTATGATCGCAGCCTACTATACAAAAGTCTGTATTTTGATACGTTCTGTAATACTTTCTGCATGTATATATACACCGCTTGTCATACTTGCTCTTTCACCTTCCACGTTGTAGGTAATCATCTTTGCACAAATGCATTTGAATGCTAAAGCTGTTAATTGATGTGTTCTTTCTCAGGAGTACCTGCGATAGTGATTTTTGTCTCAGCTATAATCAACTACAGCAGGATTGGACTAGACGGATACGGCAAATGGAATGAACGGAAATAGTAAGGAATTAATTTTGTTTCGCTGTGCAACATTGGTGTTGAATGTTAGAGAGACTATACTGGTCTCGCAGGGACTGTCCTAGTGTGCACAATGATAGGGTGTATTGGAGTAACGTTATCAAGTATACCTCACCGGATTAAAAATCAGGATGCGTGATGATGACCCTTATGTACCCTCAGATTTCATTCAATAGAAGATATTCTGACATTGAGATCTGCATATGCATGTTACATGGATGCTTTGGGTAGACGATGTCTCGTATGAAACTGGTTAACGTTTAAATTGGTATAAGTTGTTTATATTTCGGTACGTTCTTCGTCACGTTACAGTTGCTGGTTGTCAGTCGAAAAAAGCTTCATCTGGAGCTTTGTTGGTCCAATGTTGTTGATCATTTTGGTGAGTTGAACCTTTTACGCTCTTCTTCTTTAGCCGAATATCATCCAGACATACTATCATAAGTATTCAAAAAGTATCAAAGTATCTATATTCGGGCATGTAAGATATGAAGTATTTACGTACTTAAGAAACACAGCTAGAGCAAATAAATGTCAGCTTCAGAATCATACACTTTAAACATGCCAATATTCCTATGCGTTGAATGCACGGACTCTTCATGTGACAGTATTCATTGACCTAACTAAATTTTGTGTTTCTTGTACCGTTTTTCACATCCTTCTTTATGCAGGTGAATCTGGGTTTCCTCGTCATGACCCTGAAAGTGATCTACTCCCAGAGATCCCACGATAAACCTGAACAGTCCTGGCAGGGAGAAAAGTTCAGGTGATAGAAATATGATTAATCCATTGAAATTGATGTATTAATACTAAGTTACATTTGCATCTTTTACGCAAATAAACAAACAATCCAGTTTGCAGAATGCAGAACTGAAACTGTATCGTTGATGTGTGCAGGTTCTGGGTCCGTGTGTCCTTGGCCCTTGTGTGTGTCCTGGGACTGACCTGGGTGTTAGGTGTGCTGTACATCAGCAAAGAGACCGTCATCTTTGCCTACCTATTCACCATCACCAACTCCCTCCAAGTATGTACCTAGCTGTGGCTTTTATTCATAGTTTTGATATTCATAGATGCAATCCCTTAAGCTTAGGGATTTAATGGTTTCCGCCTTCTAGTCGGTTTGAAGCGAGCGTATGTCCATTTGTCGTGATTCAGAGATCCAGCTGTCGCACTAATAGATTTCTTCTTGTTTTTCAGGGGTTCTTTGTGTTCGTTTTCCACTGCGTTTTGAACGAAAAGGTACGTAGTCAATTAGACGTCTGCTACTTTTTCATAGAACAAGTTTTAATCATCGTCTTACTATGTTGCTGCGATTGTGTTTCTATTAGTTAATAAGTATAGGAGCTGAAATGTAACCTGCGTACAGTTTATATGATGAAAAAAAATACGTACACTGAATACTAGAGACTAAGCCTTACTCAATTGTGTTAAAACTATTCTTTGCCGAAAGCCACCTTCCTACCGCATAATGTATGAAATATGATTTTACCCTTGTTGTCCCGTATCGTCATCTATCTGACTTAGGGTTTCTTGTTAAGTTAATCACCTGGTACTAATAGATAATTTTGCTGACCAGGTGAGGGATGAGTTTAAGCGACAGATGGCTCGGCGTTCGTGGTACAGCAGGATGAGGCAGAGATGGCAGTCCGGTACCACAGCAGAACAGGTAGGCTGACACGAAGGGAACCTGATGTCAATGTTTCTTCATCTTCATCTTTGCCGGGGCTCAAAGATGTTATGTGAGCCCCGGCTACACCCCCATATAGCCCCTGATAAGGCACTTTAGGGGGGGGGGGAGGCCTTGGTCTAAGGCGGGCAGGCCTCCAGCCTGGCCCGGAAGGACTCAACGGTGGGAGCCATAACTACCAGGCCAGGCAAGGCGTTCCATTGGGGGATTGTGCGAGGGAAGAAGGAATATTTGTATTCATCCATGAATAATTTCATCGGGTTGACAAGAAACTGCAGCAAGTTGTCGCTGCAAATACTGCAGCAGTGACACCTAGCTGCAGTACAAAGCAGAACCAATCATTGTTGAACTTCCCGTCTACATCATAGTATTTGAAACATTTGTTAACATTTGGCAGTCGTAGCGAAACAGTAGTCTATCTCGCCAAACACAGTTTACCTCCTAGCCTGTACCCATGATTGGGGGAGTTCGGCAAGTGTTATGTGATATTCGGTATATCAGGGGCTTCAGATAATATCGTTTGCAAGCGAGGGTGATAAGTACGTAGAACAAATTCATCCTCAAATAAAGTTACGTTCTGCCTTCTTCAATAGGAAAGTAATAGATTTGCTGCAACATAAACATTCATTCATCATTTTTCCTGACCAGATTTGGCTGGGTGACGTCACAGACAGTAGGAGAAGCGTCAGTAGTCTCACGAGAGAAACCGTGGTTACAGGCGAGAGTTCGGAGGGCACATCTTCTGATAACACCGCTCGCCGAAGCTTCAAGGAGAATACAAACTACAACAAAAGGAGCGTATCCTTTGATCTTTGAACTTATCTTCCATTCGATAGGGAAGAATTTCAAAACATACTTGTACTTGTGTATGTATAACATTTCTTTTGTAGCGCTACAGCTTGCAAAATTAAAAACGGACTATTGTAAAATAATAGGACCTCGGAGTGTGTTACTAGAAGATACAAACTATGTTTAAATATTATTATTATTTTAAATGTATGATAGCATTATACATTTTACCAGAACATGCAAACGTGGATCACGCGACAGCACGTATTGATACGTCATCGTCTGTTTCTCTGTATACACGAAGTCTATTCAATAATTATTTACGTTCTAGCGATTTAGCTTGGTATATTAATACAAGCTAATTTTATAATAATTTTGTGCTGTAATGAATTAGGTTTCAAAAGGATGGCCTTTCATTGGACGTTGTACGTGTTATTAGTTGTATTACCGACCGTAATATCTAAAGAAGCCTTGTATTTACTAAACCATTGTTTGATTTGTGAAATAATCTACGATTCATTAGGCTTTAATTTATGCCAAACAATCACCTCAACGTGAAGGTGTGTATGAATCTATGGGGCATCACTTCATATGTCGTTGTACATAACACACTATATATTTTTCATCTAACATGAGTTATTTTCTTCACGGTTTCGTCGTTATCATTTGTCCAGACTCGTGATCATTTCTGTGTCATATATCAGTATTAGAACCTTTCCCCATTCATGGTGTTTACGGCCCTTACAGAAATGATCTGCATAAATTCACAAGAAAAAAGAAACATTTACAATGGTACCAAACTATCAATACCGAACAAATACATATATGTGTGTGTGAGTATGTGTAAGGATGACAACATTCTATTTTTGTTGTTGACTGATAACCAACCGAAAAGTCATAAAGTCAAAAGCCAAAGTCATAAAGGGGTATCATATAGTAACCTCTGTGTACAAATTGTCGTGGCTTACAGATTTAGATATAGCTGCAGTAGTTTTATCAATGTTATTTGACCTTATTTTACTACCCACGCCTTCTATGCATTCATATCATCATCATCTGGTCGTGAGAGTTTCACGGATGGTCGTGACTCTTTTCCGCCAGCCCTCCCTATCCTCCATGGCCCTGGGTAGGTCTTCTGGTCCTAAATTGCATTCATGGCCGACTGTAGTCTATAATATTCTGCTTTCACGACAGAGAAAATTGGATTAGTTACGAGTGACGTTTACAAACAATAATCCAGACGTCATATGGGGTCAAAAGGCTCGGCTCTGTACCAACAAAGGATTTCCGCGAAACGTTAAATGACCACACCCTCTTCCAAGACTATCCAACATCACCAACAACATTCGAGGTTTTTCGCATTCTTATTCATATACATGTAGAGCTCCACAGTGTATTTAGAGTAGAGTGTATATTCTGTGTATAGCAACGCGTAGGAACAACATGAATGAATGCCAAATATCTACAGGAAATGGAACTAGAGTTTCTTAAATTGGAACTAGAATTTCATTTCCGGAGGCGTGACACAACATGGCCAGGGAACGCACCCTCCTGTTAACCATACAACAGACATTCCTTCTAAGCACTGAGATAACGGAGGCTAATGACCTTATATATAGACAAGCATCTCACGCTGTCAGGTAAACATGAACGGGTGACTGGGTGAGGGGCGACCTGAAGTCACGTATCCGGAGCTTTATGCATCCTTTCCACTTCTAAGGAGGCCACCGGCGTTGAAGAGCCCCAAACTCTCATTATTAATAGTCCAGACCAATTGTATTGATCTATTTCGTAAGTAGTATGTCTATCAAGTCATTCCTTTAAATTTTATGGATCATTGAAATTATAGAGTCGTGGGTCATAAAAGTCGCTCGAAGGCCACCCATCCAGTAGATAGAGGGTTGGGGTCACGTATCCACTGGTGTGTTACGCCGAAGGTCGGTTATACCGGCTATACAGATACAGAGTGATACAGAAGTTCAGAGTACTGTCATGCTGTATACGTATTTCCGGACTTCGGGGAAACTGGAAGCGTGTGTACGTGAGCAGCGCGGTTTAGACAATACAGCTTTGTCCCCGTGGGAATAATACACAGGGTACACAGTTCGAGGGGAGTGGTGGCACAGCGTATTACTGCGTGTTTGAAATTCTTAACCAATAGTTTGTGTTTCTTCTTTTGTAGTTTATCATTTTAGGTGTTTCTCGAAAACTCCTGATGTGTTTTTTTTCATAGATCACAATCAAAGCGTACGCTTCACGTTGGTGGACACAACAACATTGAAGGTTATTATCAAAATCAGAGTACTTTTTGTCATTTAATGTTACAACATTATTATTGCGCTTTTATCATATAATCGTATTCAATAGGTTATCCCTCGAGTAGAAATCGCTAATTGTGGTCTAGCACTTCTGTTGTAATACGGTAATAAAGTTAGGACGATAAAATATTGAATTTGATTTAGACAATAATGCTATGCTAGTAGTATTACAAAAAGGCATAAGGTATAAGTCCAACAGATGTTTTGGTCCTATTGTTGTTGTTACATGTGTAAAGTGGTGAAGACTTTGTCACGCATATCACGTACTCAGTGACGTCAATGCATACTAGATATGGCATCGCATACAAATTAGTCTTACAACTTTAACTCATGCACAACAAACTGCCTGTTCCTCTTTTGTATAAGAAAGCAATTTAAACTTGATTATGATGTTATTCGCTACCAGACATGAGGTACTACACATATAAACACTTCCAGACTTCATTGTCCGTCACCTTGAGTGACCCCTGCCCTCACAATGATCCTCCTGTAAGCTAGTTATGACTGCTGCACAAAACTATTTCACAGCCAAGACGAGCAAAACAGACCCTAAATGTCAAAGTGTCGATTCCTTGGAAACAGCGGATGTGTTTACTGGTGGACGATCTACGCGACCACGGATTCGTCACTCCCGTCTTGTTGATTTTCTTCTGCTTCGCTGAGCCGAGCCCGAAGCGGGCGAACTCCCCGCGGGCGTTTCCTTGTGGCACAATGAGTCAACAGGGCAAGCAGTAGGCGTGGGTACCATCCGCCTGACATTATACACTCCCGTCTGGCCGCACTACTGACTACAAGGGTTATTTGGTGAGTGGGCATGCTCGTATAAGCGAACGTACAGACGTCTGCTTGTGTCATCACATTCACAGAAGGTCTCCTGGGGGAAAACGTAGACTTCATAAGGCAAGTTTTGGACGACAGAAGACCAGGAAACGTTCCCCATTTTAACAGGCGAAGTAAACAGGTACGACAAGTTCTCTGTTCATACGGTAACATTGTGTTCTGTTCATAGTAACGTGTTTATTCTACTTTCAAGACAGGGTCGTACGTAGTAGGAATCGTTGGACGAGTGACCCTCAATGGTCATGATAAGAGTTTTTGAATGTGGTATTTATAAAGATGTTATAGCCCGTTTCGAGCCATTTCATTTCGCTGCGCTCGTGTTAAGAGTCTTTCACAGCACACATGTAATCCTCAAATTCCGATGCTTGGCGGTCACTTCCATTGTAAACAGCTCTGACTACACCGTCAAGGGTGGATTCTACCAGGACTATGTGTAAGACTGTACGTGCTCAAGTAATCTAGAGTAGACTCTCGCTGGATAAAGCAATTATGCATTCAATTTGCCAATACAGCTGCTAGACTCGGAGGAACTATCATGGATAATGTGAATAATATACTTTTAAGTCGCCATGTGGGGAGACTGATTCTTTCAATTGTTCCTTGTGATGGAGTTTTATTTACTTCGAAGCCACAAATGCCTCCATATTGATAATATGACACCCCCCTCCCCACCAATTCGTTGATATAATGCTTTCCATGGTATTTTCCCCCCAGTGGTATTCCACTATCTTAAACAGTATTAATTGCATGTTTCTCTACCCTGTCCTAATTGGCCGTAGATAATTGCATGTTTCTATTGGCCCATAATTCGGGACAGTGAATCGAAATAATACAGGGACTTAATCCCAGGGAATGTCTTCCCCTGGCAGGCTTGTAGAATCCTTTCACACTTCTGTCCTTGTGCAACTTGCGTCATCGCTGATTTTTGCCGCATGAAATAACCACCATAACAGTGCGTCAATATGACTGTCGCTATCACCCATTCTATAGAGTTTATAATCGAATAGCAACAAGACTTTCGTTGCTTGTTATCTTAGGTTAACTTTTCACTAGGCTTGGCAATAGAGGCTACCGTTTTGTTTCCTTGATAGCTGGAAGTTGAGGAAGAGTTTACGTTTTCCAGCAGGTGTAAACAAACATGTCGCCCGACAACAAGTTGGTGGCCATCTTGTTTCTACTCTACGCGATGCGTGACGCAGGTGTGAGTTACGGGGTGGAAGGACAGTGTACAACAACACCAAGTACATCAAGTTACGGTATGTACACTCCACGTTTCTGAATTCATGGTATCACCCTAATTCTATTGCGAACAATACAGTTTCCGTATCTCTATTTGAAGTATCTGTGACCGGGTCAATCTACTAATTGTCTCATCAACTTAAGTGCAATCAATCAGAAGGCTTAAGGTATTCAACACAGTCCTTAACGTGTTAATAGGCGTGAAGTAGTGGTCTCTTTTGAAGTAAAGAAAGTGTGTATTAAGTGTCCACATACATTTGATAGCATTGTCGGCGACAATTGTAGAATGCGGGTATCTTAATTAAGATATAAGCACTTCCTATTGAATGTATATAACGCCACATAAAAGACTGCCATAAACAACTTGTCCAACCAGTTCAATCACCTTTCTGAAGTGCCACATGTCTTTTATACCGTCTGGCTACATTCATCTCTTAAAGCGTGACTGTGTGAAGACATGTTTTATGAAATCGATTTTCTGCTATTGACTTTCTGTCAAATCCATGGCGGTGACGTTACATCATCTGTTCTGAAAACGCCGCATGGTCGTCATACAGCACTTATAGAATTTATATCGCATATTGTGAAGGAATGACATAGATTCATGGACTGACACAAGTGCATGTTGAAAGGGGTACCCGGTTCTCGTGCCTTCGGTTAATTTGAACTGACAACTGACTAGTTTATGCCATCTATCATGTAGCCGGTACATGTATTACCCAATCTCTGACAAGGACTGATGTAAGTGTAAAGAATGAGAGGTACCATCGATCGGAGCTCAGGATCCTGTACTACTACAAAGACTAGCCCGATATAAACTCAGGATTTTCTGTCACCATACGGAAACCCTTCATCACAGCCTTCAACACCCCAGTGTAACAGACAATTCTCATTCTATAATGAATAACTTCTTATTCTTTTTGAAATTTATTTCAAGGTGGTTCAAAGAAGATAATCTTCCCCCATCCTCGCAGCATCAAAAATTTCGCCCAGCTGAACACCACACTCCGGGAGGGTTTGGGCAATTTTACCCTTTGTGTGCACATGCGCACAAACGACACCGAGGGCTCCTTGGTCAGCTATGCAACAGAAACATCCTCTAATGAGATATTCTTTGAAGGGTGGACCGACGAAAAGGAAAAAGGTTATAAGGTATGGTTATAAGCTTTGTTGGCTTTGCCTGCGTTACATCATCTCTTCCTGGTTAATTAAGGGCTGATCCCCCTCCCCCAGCTTGTGACTGATTTGAAAAATTACCAATGGGAGCTAAGCACAGTTCACAGTTCTCAGTCTGACAAATGATCTATCTATGTTTGTACATATACACAAATCAACTGGATAATGATGTTTCCAATACTTATAGATGTTGGCTTACGTTATTTAGTCAAGGTACTCTTTCATTGGTCAGATCCACAGCAGCTTAATGGTCCAAAGCCCCAAAGTCGACAGGAGATTTAGGACATGAATTACGTTGTTGGTTTAAGTTTGTTGGTGATTTGTTCTGTTCTTCTTGCAGTTCCTCGTGGCAGGCAACCCTTGGCCTCAAGAACGTTCAAACTTCCAGTGTTGGACGGTAGCTGGCACGCAGTTTGTGCAACGTGGCAGAGGGAAGACGGGGGATGGGGAATATACGTCGACGGTAAACTCAATGAATCAGGCTCGGGCCTTAGCAACGACATAGGAAGAGTCATATCAAGCCCAGGAACTTGGATCCTTGGACAAGACCAAGATGGTAATGTAGGTTCGAATTCCTTCGACGTAAGACAGGCTTTCAGTGGAGAAATGACGAGAGTAAACCTCTGGGACCGCGTGTTGTCTCCATCAGAGATTGGGACGAACTGGACCACGTTCTGTAGTCACCAAGGCAACGTCATCAACTGGTCCAACACCGAGATTCACGTATGTGGACAGGCCAGCTTTGCCGAATATGAGTACTGCGGTAAGCATATTTTCTTAACTTCGAAATTAATTTTAAAGCACTCAAAATAAATATAATCTAACAAGTGCATTAATGAAATAAAGTTGTCATACATAATACATGATACCACAAACAAAAACAAAGCGCTTCTTCTACTTTAGTATCTGTTGTCTTTAGTCTTGACATTTCCGGCATGAATAACACAGTGCATACATTTTACGGATGATTGCGGACACCTGATTGCATCACGCACAACAGACTGTGCTTGGCCGACACAGGAAATCTTCAGGCAGATATTTCGGTAGCCTAACGGCAGAGTCCTCTGAAGAAAGATCTTCTTAGATGATGTTAGATTAGATACAGCACCCCTTTATCTGAAGTCCCAAAGTAGACCTAACCGTTGTGTTTGCTCATTCGTCATCTTCTCCTGGCTTGGCACATTAAAGTCATCGTTTCATCTATCAAATCTATGAAATACTTTCCTGTACTTATTGTTACAAACGTAATACAAACGTTCTGCCTTGGCCTTTTTCTATTACATGTAGCATCTGCTCACTACAGACGACGTTTACTATACTGCGAGCATCACAACACATTTATACTCGTAAATTTGCAAGCTTTGCGTAGTTTTAAATGTAATGTTATTCCTATGCCTCGGTACTTTCAGATTCTCTACTATTGTGCTCGCAAACGTAGATGTTGTATTCTCCTCATCTGTTGCTACGTCTATTGTGTAATCTGCTTACCCTGTAACTCTTAAGTAGTCTCTGAACATCTTACAGAACAATGGAGCACCCAAGAACCAACTAACGAAGCAACAATTTCAACAACGCCGGCCTCGACATCTGCTCCTCCTGCCGTGATCACAGGTCAGTCAAACACTTACTTATGCACATTAGTTAACAAAATATAGTTATAATATCTGCCTTTTGATTATTCGTATGAGCTAAACATTACTTGTTGTTGATAACATCAAAGGTTATTGTGTTCTTTTTTCTCAGACAAACAACTATTACCAGTCAAAGGTAACCAAAACTCAACACTTTTGTATGTTGGACTTTGCATGCATTACTTTCTTCCAACTCACTACCGATGTAATTAATACCCTCTGATTTCCAATTGCAAGCAGATGTTAAATCGTTACGTGGGTCTAAGAAACGTAACGCTTTTACCTCCCAACATCTGTTCAGAGATTAAACATTCAGTCGATTGAGACCACCATCAATTAACAAGTGATTACGTACATTGTGTATGTATATAATGATTAAAGGCTGTACCGGTAATGACTAACTGTTAATTGAAACTTAAATTATTTTCTTCTGTTTCAGACAGGCCTGTTCAAGACTGCCCAGAGCGATTCGAAGAGAAAATGTGGCCTAAAACAGCAGCAGGAATTGTGAACTCACAAGATTGTCCAGATGGCACCGTCGGTAAGCAACAGCACCAGAGGTTCCCTGTTGTCGTTTTCCCTAAATTCACAAACAAATACGTAATATTTCTTATCATCAGACGAAAGCGTCAATGTATGTCTTGAATATAATTGAATATTCATTTATGAGCCGCGTAATGTTTCCTCCCTCCTAGGCCCCTTGCATGCCTTTATACTATGCTATTGTCCTGGTTTTGTTGTGAAATTGAAAAATAAATAAATAAACAAACAAACAATTCTGTTACACCAGGCACGGCTCGGCGGAAGTGTGGTATAGACGGTGAATGGGAGGAGCCTGACCTGAGCGACTGTACGTCACCTTGGGTGGGCGAACTGCGGAACCTAGTATGTCTGGTCATGCTTTAAACACTACATTGTCTGTCTGTAATCTTTGAGCTATCTACGATCAAAACATCATCGTTTCTATTTCAACATTTCTATGATGGTAATCTAGTTTATACAAATACTTTTTAATTAAACGGCAGATATAATGTTTCCTGTACGTTATGCAAAGATGTTTCACTTGAAACCAAAACAGACTCACTCCCTATCATTGATTCTGTAGGTTGAGCAGGGAGGACCGGCCGGGGATGTCCTCTCCCTGGTGAAACAGAACCTGGCCCATAATGATAAGGTCTACGGCGGCGACGTGATAAAAAGCATCGGTCTGCTCGGTGACCTGGTGGCAATACAGCAACAGCAACTTAGCAACGTTTCACAGGAAGAGAAGAAAGGCATTGTCACCAACTTTACTAAGGTTAGCATACATGTCAAAGTTTGCAAGAAACTGCTAAACACTATGTTAGCGACACCATTAACATTATTATCTACTACATCAAATTCAGACTGACATTGACATTGTTAAAAAGTTCGATCATTATTTAGCGGCTATACTGTTTCACAATTGCGTTATTGTGTTCGCGCATATAATTCACCATAGTTTTGAATGATTGGTTTGAATTTTGCTTTGTGGTTAGTTATTGTCTTGATCAAACATGGCGATTTGGGGCACTTTAAGTCGTATTTGAAGGTACTGTATGCAGCATAATAGGTCAACGCATGGTATCGTCCATAGTCATGATACAGGACCATGATACAGGACCAGTTGTGTCACGATACACCTTCGCCCACTCGGCAAACGTTGGTACAACCTCACGGAGGTTTGTGTCCCATGGACTCTTGTTTTTGCTTCTTTACAGACAATGGTAACATGCGGCAGCACCATCCTGAGCACCAAACGAGGTGACGCCTGGAAGCACATTCCGAAGGTATGTGTTGTTGCAACAACTGACGACAGAGTCCTTTATTCTTATCTGGTAGTTTACGGTATCGCATGCAGGATCACGAGCTAGTGACCGGTGGAACATCAACAACTGTCGCGTCTGCATGATTTTCCTTTACAGTACTTGTATCCTGCACGAGAAAGCACACGGACTAACAAACTCTCCAGAGTCTGTGTAAATATGGATGATTATGCTGATCGTAATACTTAAGCTTGTGTGAAAATGTTTTTACTGTTGGTAGTCAATTTCTGCAATAGGGCTTCATCAGCATTCGACGTACTGTTGTGATATGATATAGTAGATGTCATAATAAACCATATTCTTCATGATATAAAAATACCGGAGACATATGAGAGGAAGAGAGTGAGATCAGGTCAGGTCGACAAAGCACATTGCTACTTTTCACAGTTAGCTTTGGTGCACACTTTAAAGGGCTTCCTTCTCTCATTCTGATGTCAGAATTTCGGATAATGCTTTCAGGACAGACAGTCTGGTATTGCGTCAGGCATCATGGACAGTCTGGAGAAGACAGGCGTGCTCATGGCAAAGTCGGCTCCAAACGACACAATCTCTATCTCCGAGAAAAACGTTGGTAAGTCCCCAGAATTTGTTCTTCTTCTATCTCAAATACACAAACTCTCGAGGTATAATGTTTGAATGGTAAGTGAATTCTTCATTGGTTTGTTTTTGTCCCAACCAGTGATGGACATACGTTCTGGATCCAAAGAGGAGACAGTAGCCTTCCCCGACCTGACGGCGAGCGAATCGTCCGACTGGAGGGCCGTCACAGACAAAATAACGCTCCCGAAAACAGATCACCAAGTGGTCGCTGCGCTCTATAGCTCCACGTTGGGAGACTATCTCAAACCCAACGAGACGGAGAAGATGATCGTCAACTCTCGGGTTATTTCGGCAACGGTCGTAAACGAGAACGCGACGACCTCGCTAGATGGCGTTGTTACCATCGTATTGGAGCATGCCAGCGAGGGCGGGGTACAAGCACATTTATGATATAATACTAATATTCTAAAAAATATTACTATGCATCGGTGTGCATTTTGAACAGACATAGAGATATACATAATACGTTTTAACGCTGTTAGTTACTCTTACACATTCGTATTGTCTTTCTTTTACAGACAATTAACGTATCAACGGCCTCTTGTTCTTTCTGGAACTTCTCTCTTGGGTAAGCAGATTCAATTCAGCCAATTGAAAAACCTTGATGCACAATATTTACACAAAATGATCCCAGTGGTGTTTTTTCAGGCAAACCGTCGTTAGTATCGCCTTCCTTTATCACTATACAGTAGTTTTCTAGTTACTAAAGCGTTGTCCCTTGATCTATCTTTCTTAGTGGGTTTTGGTCCAACGACGGCTGTACAAAGATCTCGGAGAAAAGTAACTTGACACATACAACTTGTGAGTGTACCCATCTCACAAACTTCGCCATACTGATGGCAGTCACAGAACAAGAGGTATGTGAAAACAAAAATCTATTTTCTGCAAAATATTAAGTGGTGTATATATGCTGAGTTAAAGCATTAAGGCTTGAGTTATTTCGCAAAATAAGCTAAGACATCATTGCACAATGTCAATGCTACATTGTCATTGATGATTGTCGAAATGTGCCTTACATGTAGTTTTGTCCGTTTTGCTATTCCATTACATCGGTCCAAAGTCTTCTTTAGGCTTTTTGGACACCTTTAATTTAAGACAAACTAAATCACTTATATTTTATAAGAAAATGACAAAAGCTATTCTAGCAGAGGTGGAATTTTGTCGACTGTTGTCTGGGGTTCTTTTCATGTTTTTTTAATGTTTTTCATGTTTTTTTCTATCGCAAATTAGTTTCGATTGTACCTGTTTTCTAAGAGTCTAAGAGAATAATTTTAAGAATACTAATATGCCATATGCCAAGCCAAGAATCCTGCTATGTAACCTCCATGTACAATTAGATGGTTTTATAGCTATACATGTGCAGTTTTACAGTTTTGCACGCAAACGTATATCATGACCATGACCATTTCAGCATTCCGAAGCTTTGAATGTCATCACGTATGTTGGCTGCATCATCTCCATCGTGTGTCTGTTCTTGTGCATCTGTGTATTCCTGGGATTCAGGTGAGACTCATTCATCCGCGTTTGGTAAATCACTGGTTGACAAACAAAGTTTGTGACACACGTGCACAGGCAATGTATTTTTGTCCTGCCAACATTTCGATGGACCGTCTGTCACCTTTCTCAAGGCAAGACAGTGAACCGTGATGCACTGAGGGGGAAAACAAACCTAGTCACGTTTGGGACCACCTCCTTGCATTGGAGCGACACCTATATGGCTGCAGTGCAAAATAAAAACAGTCAGTTTTGCCCTGCGGAGGGTGGCAGACAGTCCACCAAAACGTCGGGAGGATAATTAACATCGATTGCGTGTGTGACGAACTTTAATTACCAAGATTTATACGACTTTTCAACAAATTCGTAATCCAGCTTGTACTGAAATCAGTCATAAACTGTCTTATACTGAAATCAGTCATAAACAAGGCAACAGAGTTCTGACCGATCCCCCCTCTTGTTCCAGACGGGTCCGGTGTCCCCGAACCATCATCCATGCAAACCTGTGTTTCTGTCTGCTTGCTGCTGAAGTGGTCTTTCTGGTGGCTGTCAAACGAACGGAGCCTAAGGTACGACGTGCATGCAATTACTAGAAATTACGTATACATATCATAAAGCTCTTTCGGTTGAGTTAGTAAAATGTACACGATGTTTACATTTGAGGTATGCTTATTGTCCATATGCACAAAAACGCCAACGATTTGGATCATTTTGACGTAAGACAGCTCATATGTTATAAAAATCGACAGATCGTTTGTGACGTGATCGCCATCGTGCTTCACTACCTGTTCCTGGCCGTGTTCACCTGGATGTGTGTGGAAGGAGTGGAGCTGTACGTCCTGCTCATCAAGGTCTTCAACTTAAAGAAAAAGAGGCTGATCTACTATCACCTCGTCGGTTACGGTACATACTCACTCCTCATGGTAGTACTCAAGTAGAATATACAAAGTGTTTTGCGTGACGTCATAGTGACACCAACATGGCGACGGACACATGGCACATGTTGCAGTTTTGCATTTTAATAGAATTGTGGTTTCCGATACCAGGCAATCATCTGACTCTCTTTATTGATTCATAAAGCTCAGGGAAAAGGGAATACAAGAATACCTACCGATGAAACAAAACAAACAACACATGTTTGAACTACGATTTATTGGAATGTAGCGTATTGACATCACCACCTGTCCGCCTCATTGATATCATGATCGATATTGAAACGCAGTGTAGTTAGAGCACGCCTTTCCTCAAACATCATAAATTATTGATCAATAACGTTCACTTGTAACTCAGTTGCCATACAACAGTGGGTGTCCATGATAGTTCACTCGGTTACCTTTTAGAGTGAACAAAAGAAACATTTCCCCAGTGTCCTTACAATACTGCAACACTACTGTAACATAAAATGACACTGACATCGGCCTTAACTAGAGCGAAGGGTTGTTGATTAATGATTTTTACATATTTTGTCCTGACACAAGCTTACACTTTATTTTACAGTCACGCCTGCCATAGTGGTGGGTGTCTCAGTGGCAGTTGATTACTACGTCTACGATATGAACGGTTATGGGACAGACAAATAGTAAGTCGCCATATATATATAGAGGGCATTTTGGCTTTGTACTGTGGCTAATAAGATGTGGTAAGCAAGTGCCAAGGTAATTACTACCTTCATTGTCAGAAGCGTTTTCTTCGAAATTAAATTGTACTATGGGTTTTCTATGGGGTACTATGGTAAATTGTACTATATTCCTACAAACTGTGGTCGTTGTACATCCTATGCCTAAGATTGATACCTGCCTTACCGTAAATCCTCCTATTTCAGCTGCTGGTTGTCGGTTACAAACTACTTCATCTGGAGTTTCGTGGGTCCAGTGCTGCTGATAATTCTGGTAAGCTCTTCGAAACGTAAACGTTCTATAGCTTTTTATGCATCGCAACTACGTACATAAATAAGTAATTCCATCACAATAAAGACTATTATGACAGTTAAAATTCCTTTTTGTTTCAGGTAAACTTGGGATTCATGGTCATGACCTTGAAGGTGATCTACTCACAGAAATCAAATAAGAAGGGCGAGAAATCGGAGCAAGGACAGAAACTCAAGTAAGACACTTTTGCAATGGATGCCATAAATACCAGAAATCTGCATATTATGAAAAATTTATAAAAAAGCACAAGCGATGCGAAAACGAAATTGTTAACCTTTTCGGGATATATAAATAAATCGACCATATTCCATATCCCTTTTCCTGTTGGGAAAATAGAGAACTCAGGGTAATGCAGAAGTAAGCAACTACCATGGCGGCGGACACAGTACGCATGCGTCACACATGCGTGTGTGTGTGTGTGTGTGTGTGTGTGTGTGTGTGTGTGTGTGTGTGTGTGTGTGTGTGTGTGTGTGTGTGTGTGTGTGTGTGTGTGTGTGTGTGTGTGGCATACCCCCTGGATTACCCATAATTCCGTTCTACAGAATAAGCCCTACCGGTGACAGCATTGTTACCTCTTGCAGGTTCTGGATCCGCGTGTCTGTGGCCTTGCTGTGTGTGATGGGTGTGACCTGGGTGTTCGGTGTACTATCCATCAGTGGGGAGACCGTAATGTTTGCCTACATCTTCACCGTCATTAACTCCTTCCAAGTATGTACATTTTGCAGTATACGTTTTTATGCAAATGTCATTGTTATAAGGTGACACTATAGTTTCTAGTGTGTAACGTACTTGAATTTGTAAAATGTTTCATTTCTTTTTTGCAAAACGAAGAATTATCCTCTAACATGGTCAATTATTCTGAATTCCAGGGCCTGTTCATCTTCATATTTCATTGCGTACTGAACGAAAAGGTCAGTGTACCCATTGCTGCAGTTTTAAGTGAATGAGACAGGAGGCTCTCCCATGTTCTACACCACCTCTATTTCTAGTACATGATGCACGCTAAAATAAAAAAAATGCTACCAAAGTGTTTTTAGGAGAGGAACTGGGGCTCCCTGTGGCATTTTAGCTTATCTTATGTAGTTGAAATGTAAACAGAAAAGAATGAAGTATAATCAAGATATATCAGACATATGCATTAGAAATTTAAGTCTTTTTTTTCTCCTGCAATCAGGTCCAGGAAGAAATGTCCCGCCATTTTGGTCCATGCACGTGCTGCAAGACAAGGACAACATACGACTGGCGTTCTTCACAGTCCACAGTCACAAATTCGCGCCGACAGAACGGGGTAATTAATTAGACTGTGTATTCTTGGACACGACTTCTTTTTTGCTTTTCAAGTGCAGCTTGATTATTTACACATATATTGAGTTTATTTATTGACTTCGTTCACAATTCAGTAAAATACATGGCAGCTTCATTTGTGTACAAAGATGCTGAATTGCGCATTTTACATTATTAACATGGTAACAAATCTATGTCTATATTACAAGATCAAGATGATAACAAATTAAAAAAACTAGTAAACAATGACATTATGATGATAACATTATAAGGAATCAAAAAGGTTCTTAATAAGTTGTAATAATTGATGTAATAATTGACACTTGGAGATTTTAACAGGTATATTTGTTCAAGAGGTTGCGAGAGTAAAATCCTATCCTATTAATATAAAAATGTACCCATATAGTCTAGCCAACAGGATTCATCAGGTCCCAGAAGCACGTATCTGTTCACTCAAGATAGCGGGGCGACGAAGGGGACACTGACACTGGGAGGCAGCAACATGGACGCCGGTCACTTCCAGCAGGAGACCTGCCTGTAGTCACGGATGGTTAACGGGACCGTCTCGATCCTCCTAGGTCGTGCAATTGCGATGTACACAAGTCGTAAAAAGCCCAAACATTTTCGTTGACAAGACAGCTGCTGTATTTTGTACGACACATGCACCACTGTCTTAACTTGTTCTATCTGAGGGGCCCATATATATGGGTTGCACATACAGTACCATCTATCTAGCATCCTGTATACATGTATGTACGATTTGGGGGTGTTTCTCGTGCAACGCATCACACCGCAGGGTAAAAAAAGTCAAGGGTCTGTGACCTGATTAAGACAATAGACAATCATTGTACATGTAAATTAAAGAACATATAAAAAATAATAATAGACGGTATAATTTAAATACATGGAACTATTTTTGAACGAGTATCTGGAAAATTTCTTTGCTTCAGGCAACATTTAATATCAGGAAAAGTATATAAGTTGTATTATTGCGCATATCAGGAAAATATTATAATTGCGCCATGTAACAAAGCATATTCTTCTTAATAGATTGATGTTACTACAGACTGTATATAAGATTAATACTAGTTTCACTAACCATTTTGTAGTTTACAAGATATCGTCTGTCATGTGATCAAGATTATGTAATGATATATTGATAGACAATCACACTGCAAAGATACTAGTAGTTAGTAACTCATGATCAAGACCGATAGTTGATATTCCAGACTGTATCATTCTTTAATAGCGGATTTCATTTAACTTAAAAGTGCTACATGTTACCAGATAATAAGAATCTAGACATATCTGTATAAATCAATTTTTTTCTACTGGCTAACACAAGATGTGGCTGGCCTGTTCATTCTTTATAATATATTGATATGAACCGTATAGTTTTGCAACAATTTTGCAACCTTTTGCGGGATAACAAACAAAGGTATGCAGTGGAACGCAACAATATTGTCATCATGTTTATATGCTTCATATGTTATTTGTGAACCTAGCCAAGTCAAACACATATGTATCATTTTACCGCCTTATCATTTTGTAGCCATATATAGATTATATATTTCTGTACAAATATAAGTTTTATAACATATGATGATTAGTTTTCAATAAGTTTCCGAATGCGATAGATACCACGAGGATTTGATACTAACGGCTAAAGTCAGACCCCTATAACACTGTCCGGGGCCCTAGCGTTCATTATCAACGATTATCAAATCTTTAAATAGTATGTTCATATGTTAAAGAAGGACGTAATAAAAGTATCAGACGACTGTCATATTTCTTCATTCTTATACTGTGCGTTTATTTGTATCTGTATAAACATAACGGTTCCACTTAGTTGTGTTGAGGGAGCCATCCAAAATGCCAGCTTTTTTCAAAAGCACGTGTTTAGGGTTTAGGGATGGGACACTAGACCCACACCATTCCCAAATTAAAGGGCCGATTTTCTAGTTCTACCGGGCAACTCAAAGAAGACTAAAAACCTTTCTAGCTGGACTATGTCAACATTTATCACATACCAAGAGAATGACATCGGCAGAAACAGGGTCAATGGCCAGACGATCGCGAGTGGGTCCGCCATCAGGGTTTCATTTTCTCTTCTTCAAATGAACTCTACGTCCCCAAACTTCCCTGGCCAATTACATTGTATTAAACTTATTTTGTTAAATTTTACTGTTTTTGAACCTGCGTTGTTAATCTCTTGGAACCTTCTAACGCACTAATGTGGACGCGGCCGGTGACGGACTACACTAACTGGAGTTGGAACAGAAGTATTCTTTTTCATACAATTAAATAGATATACAAGGCAGACATCATTATCTACAGTCCATTTAACGTGGCGTTTGCCACACCAGATCAGATTGTCGGAATTTGCCCACCCTGTTTTGTTATGAAGAGGCCCCCTTATATACTGAGAATGTTCTTACTTCACTACAATAATCTAACTTAAGTTGCCCACGTGTACACTGCGAAATTAACCAGTCACATGATAAAAGCAGGTCTCCAAGTCGCATTGTTGTGTCATTTAAGTTCTGGAGTTTGTAAACATAAAAAAGACATCTGACAAGCGGCGCGGCCATTTTGATTAATGACCCTCTATGTGAAAAGGTGACAAATCCCTTATATCCTGTACAAATAAAGAGTACTTGAAGAGTACTGAAGACGTGGGGGCAATCTCCAAGCAGATGTTACGAGTGGTGGTTTGTCACACATAAGGACCGCTAGAAAAACGTAATAATTTAGTCTCCTAACATCTGCTTTACGATAGCGTGAATACTCAATTTGGCCTGCGTGTAGCGTGTACTAGTATATCCCTATAGATAGCCAACAAAGGAGGCAGGGTCTACCGAAATTATAGAGGCGATCAGCTAATACCCTGCTATTTGGCAAATTAAAAAAAAATGACTTCACACAGGGTGTTACTGAGGTTGAAAGAGACGGTTCAAAGGTCGTATAGCATTGTAAGCGGTACCGTCAACAGGTAAATTGCTCCCCTCAGGCCATCACGGCTTCAGTACGATAATAGCATCTCGTCGGACAAGACTGGAAGGACGTCAGTCCACGTCAATGCCAATTGTCGAGCCGTGGCGGAGAGATTATGTAGAACTCTTTCCAAATCATTAGTCCACGAGGAACAGCAAACATGCATGTAGGAACGTTTCAGTTGGATCCTGGAGTGGACTAAACCCGTGTCGTTGTTGCGTATCGCCCCGCTGAGGAAAATGTGAAGTTGGAGAAAAAGGCTAACCAGAAGGCGTTGACAGCGAGTTACAGCACTGGAAACCTAACCATGATAAAAACTAGGTCTGATCGGTTCACAGCGGTTGTCCTCGTCACTTGCGCGGTTTTCACCACCAATTTACTGCCAACTATTACGGTAGTTAACGGACAGGATGGCAGTACAGGTACGAACATCCTTGTTTGTTGTAATTTTGACCGTACACAGAATTGGAGCGCTCTATCTCTTTGTACTTCTGGTTCCGTATTACTTGTGCTGAATTTTGATGTGACCATGACCTAGAAACTAATCAAAGCACGAGGGCATTTTTTCCTCGCAGTTCTCAAATGTTAAGAGTAAGCTGACAACATCCTGATAATCATCTAAAACTCGCAGGAATTTCCTCCGAGGCAATCGTATGGTCAATAGACAGCTTAATCGAAGATTAGAACAGGACAGAGAAACCTATGCTAAGAGTATGTTGACAATAAAACGTGATACATTGTATTTTTAAGGTTTTTACTCTTACGTACATTATAAGGGTAGTTTTTGGAACCCATGTTTAGATAACTATTAAAAGTCTTGTCAATGTATCTACGTTACTATTACTTGAATGTATTTGTATGCCTCTGGATAGGAACTGGTCTATTTATCTATTTCTAAATTACTAAGCTTTCGTATAGAAAAAACTATGACTGTTATTGTTGTTTCAGGCTGCAAATGGTCCCTTTCCGGCGATGAGCAGAGCCTGTACCGTAGAACGAGCTCCATAGACTGGGGAGATACACAGTGGGATATTATCGGCCCGGAATTCTGCTGGAGCGGGGGGTGGACGTGTTCCATAGCGTCAGAACGGTACAGGGAAGATGGACAATGGAAGGATCTGTCGTCTCTAGCAGCATACGGAAATTCTGAAGACGTTTTCAGGATATCTTACGAGGATAAGACAACAAACCGGTGCCGAAGACGAAGATTCGTCGAGGTGAGACTACTGTGTTTTTTCAGAGGAGAAAGACATATAATCAGTTGATCACGATGTCTGATGCATTTTCAATACTACATGTGGTATACTAGTACATCAAATGAATCAGATCATATGTGTTTAATTGCCAGAAGTATACACTAGAGTCTATACAAACCTCGACAGTAATTTTTTCCCGATTAAAGATTTTTGAAGTTAACATAATGATAAGAAAAGTGTTTACGTTGATAAGTCTCAATTCAATGAAAAACTATGTTTAGTTGGACATGACCGCATGGCAATTTTGTTTACATATTCTAAATGGTTGTGGCGTTACAATGCACAAAATTTCATATATTGTAATAATTATAAAATACACGTGTAAAAAGAAACTCATGACATTCAGTGATGAATGATCAAACAAAGCAAATACATGGCAATACGGTTATCACTCATGCCAGTCTGGGGACAATTGAATGTTGCTTGAATCTGTTCTAGTGGAAAGTCAATACTACGGACACTACACTGACGGGACTGGTCATCCAACTGAACATCGTCTGCAGTCTTAGCTGGCTCCAAACCACCTATTCCAACACGGATTGTCTGGTTCTGAGGCCAACCGGGGATGAACTGAGTAAGTCTTTTCGTAGCTACAACCTTTTCTGAGGCCATTTCGCATAGCTAGAACATTACAACAAACAACTATTGGTAATTACAGTACACTAAGTACAGACCATGTGTCAATGTGCACGATCTTCCGAGTGCCAGACTGTGTTGGACTCAATGAGCTCTCTTCTGTACTTGCCATTTCTTGTTGTAGCATTGTGTATATTGTCAAGGGTGGTAAAGTGGTGTCAGTTCTGGCAAGACATAATTTAATTGCATGGCGTATTCCTATTCATAATATATCATAAATGCTAATTGGCAGCTTTAGTAAATCTAGATCATGTTTAGATTTGTTTTCTCTCAACAATAGTGTAATTCATACCGTAGTGGTTTGTGAATTTGGATTACGTACATTTCTACCACAGATACGGCAGTTGGTGAGCCCAACACCACAGGAACAGAATGCGGGTGGACCTTCGAAAATGAGAGACAGACCCTGTACCGCAGGACCACCCAGCTACACTGGGGGGACACAGACTGGCCAACCACGAACGTCTCAAAAATCCAGATCTCCCCTGACTTCTGTGACGCCTGGACATGTGCTGTCCAGTCGGAAAGGTTTAGAGATGATGACGGACAATGGAAGGGGCTATTGTTTCTCGGACAGGTGGGCATTCCTGGCAGCGGGGTTTTCCACCTGTACTACAAGGACAATCGCCATGAAGGGAACTGTAGCAGGCACTGGTTTGTCCAGGTAAGCTGCATATAGTAATCGATGACAGTAATTTATGTTTACAACATAGTAAGTCAGACATTCTGCGTGTCTCTAGTTGTATAAAGCCAGTCTTGCAGTAAACTACTACTTCAATAGAACATACACTACTTATAACTAATAGTTGGCATTCATTGTTAATATATATTCTAAAACACTACACCCCTATCAAACAGAGATAACAGCACACTAACAGATGTATAAAATATGTATGTACATTGTCAATAGAAATATCAAACAGTCATCACTCTTTTAAAAGAGCAAACATCATTTGAATGTCTAATGTTGAATGAAGACAGGTACTTAATATACATTTGTGTATCAAAGAAAGTTTTGTTTATAAAGCGTTAGTAATATGATGATTCTCTCCTGTGTTTCAGTGGGTTTATACAGAATATATCGCCCAGCTAAGGCCGCTGTCATTCCAACTCGGCATCACCTGTAGCTCCACTGGGGAGCACACGGAGACAGCATGCATCACATTTGAGACTGGGGAGAGGCGTGAAGGTAGGCAGCTGTCTGTATGTATGACATTGACATGTGATGTTTCCCCATATATTTCGTTGTCCATCAGTTATTATGTCCATCAACTCTATTATTGGTTCTTTTTTGTGATTTGGGTGATTTCGCCCATCTATGTATCTATTTGTAATTGTATGTGGTAGGAATATGAATATAAGTGTGGGGAGTGGGGGACCAGAACACTTAGTTGTAGAAAGAAACAATCTATAATTGGTGCTAATCCGTTGATGGAATCCCTTGAGTTCCCAGTCAATAGGAAGTGTTGTTGTGTATTAATAGTCGGCCATCATGGGTCATCATGTGTCAAATATGGTCCCGCTCTGTGCAAGGCACTGGATAGCTCCGGGGGTATCCGGCCGTAATTACTGTAAAATGTCAACCTGAGTTATTGTTACATGAGGACTGGGAAGATCAGGACAAAAGCAAAAAAAAATGGTCAGCGCTAAATGAAATTTTATCGTTTAATGATTCTGAAACCTCATCATAGTCGAGTTTACCATTGTGGCTTTGTAGTTTTACGGCCTGCTGAACGATACCATTTCGTTCCTGCACCCATGTAGAGACCCTCGCGTGTCAACTTAAAGCACTGTAACATACCCTTAAGCCATAGTGCGTCACAGGGAGGGAAACAACAATACGTGTGAGTGAACACGTTTGTGTGAAGTTTTTGGACAGACCGACCTCGTATAATGGAACTAATGGGGCAATGAGAGACCCTGTTGAATTTGAAATCGTTGCTACTCAAAGGTGTTACGAATTGAAAGAATGACGTCGGGGAGAGGGCATATTGTGCCTCTTTAATTAATACGTGCCCTCATAGTCAGGCAAAATTCGCAGTCGGCAAACCTCTGTTATCAATGTCGTCACTGTGGAGTACGTGGCACATACGTGGCAGGGTTCCTGTCAAAAACTCAGAATGCGACCTAAAACGGAGGTATATGCTTTACTCAGGGTACAAGTTAAATACAGCCCCTGCTAGGAGAAACCAGTCCCCACACTTCATTTGAAGATCAACAGCCCCATTTTGATTTGATGCGACATTGCGATAAACAAAACAGTAAAATTTTACCTGTGGCCACATTTAATATATTACAACATCTCAAGTGGAAACTTTGAACATTTTTGTATCAGAAAGCCAAGTATGAAATTCCTTTCAGTGACTACATCATTTGATACATTTCGCCCTGTTTTTTTTTATGTGCAGTCACGACAACTACTTCGGCCCCATCTACAACCAGGTCAACTGTACGCAGTACTGCACGTGAGTCTTTTTCAGTGATCTTCACCATTGCGCAATCTATTGACGATACTGTCTGTACACTATAAGTGCACAAGTTGTTGTCAATCTTATGTAACTGTCTGTCACCACGTGTACGCCAATGTTCAATTTATATTGTATTGACTCAGCAACAAAGCAGTATAATCCATATACTCAAAGACAACATCATACATGTTGACCTAGTGTTTAATAGTATAAATTATATATTCAACCAAATACGGAATTTACAGATCAATTTTTCCACATTTACAGGTCCTGTTCCTGTACCTGTGATATCCACGTTAAGGAGTAGTAAGTCGGTTTTAAAATTAGAACTCAGTTTTGATCTCACTTTGCCAATTCACACATTCATTTCATCGCTGTTATGTATGAGACAAACGAAAATCTTTTCTGTCATCACAGGTCTTTCAACAACTACAAGAAGGTCAACACTAGCCAGTAAGATCATGCTTAAGCATTTGATATTGACTCTCTAATGTCTATACAACTTTCGTATCTTTGGGTATTTCAATACAGCAATACATCGTGTTTTTTCTACAGCTACTACAGCTACTATCGCAGCGACCTCAACATCTAGTAGTAGTAAGTAGGCTTGTCACGTTTTATCACTTAAGTCTACAAGACAATGTCTAACCCAATGTGCACGTCATTAAACTTATCTAGGTCCCCGACTGACTTGACTGCAATACTTTCACAAATGTACTGGGCAGTATTGGTGAGGTTTTAGGGTCATTTTGGAATGTTTGTATCTATTGCATCAAACTTGTATGCCGCCAGTAATGATTTTTCCTTTTCTCTTCGTAGCTTCCACGACAACAAGGCCCACACTAGGCGCCAGTAAGTCCCTTTGTTACATGTATATGCCACATCTCATTTCTTTGGCAATTTTACTCGTTGTCATAACTATGATATGAACCCATCTTTCTCCAAAACAGGTCCATCTACTACCAAGGCCTCAACAACGACAAGGATGTCAACAATGGATAGTAGTATGTACCTTTTTCGGGTCTCAAATAATATATTTTTACCACGAAGTGGTGGTGAACCCATATTGCTTTTTCTGATGTTTCTTCTCCTCCTTCTTCTTCTTCTTCTCCTCCCATTTTTTAAATGGATTCAGCTTCTTCATTTTAGGGCCCAAGGTCCTGAAATTTGGTATGGAGGTACAGTGGGCAAATACCCCTAGGCGTTTTTTAAATTATTGTGATACAGGCTTTTAGAATGGTTTTATTTGAGTTTTTTGGCTGTGTTATAGCAAATGTATTACTGTGTTAGTGTGCCTTGTTTACCACGTTTGGGCATGAGTCATCACAATGGAATGCAGGGCATCAACCAATAGGCATGCAGCTTTCCTCTATTCTTCTTGCTGATTGGCTGTTGGGATTTAACTTGATCAACACCTGCACAGAGCATTTCCACCTGCACAGAGCATTTCTTGCTGATTGGCTGTTGGGATTTAACTTGATTAACACCTGCACAGAGCATTTCCATACTGACAGTATGTCTGTATTCAAGTGTTTTGGTAGGTATTTCAAGCTTTCCTGCTCCAGCATTGGAATGCGGGGCATGGACGTTTTTTTTTATTTTGAAAATCAACAGTTTGCATTATGCAATTAAAAATCCTAACCAATAAAGTAGGGAATAGCTATCCAACTGTTGTTTTAGTTGTATTTTACTTCATATTATAGTTATATCAATGTAAATCATTGTTTTCCCTTGTGTTTCTCATTCTTTCCCTGCCATGTCGTAAAATGTGGTGAACCCATCGCTGTATTTGCTCCAAAGCAAATATTGGCCTTTCTAGTTTTTACTTTAAATTTTTTAATAGTTCTGTCATCACTACTTTTATATTTCATTTTTCATCCTGACTTAAACTCGAGCTCCTTTGTGCCATTTTTTATATTCACTGATTTATATTGGCTAATGTCTAGTTAAACTCCATGCAGTAATTGTTACATGTCACTTTGAAGTTAATGTTGTTAACAACTTTCTTTCTCCCAGGCACTTCGACTGCCACGCCTTCAGCTAGAGCACCGACTACAGTACATATCAGTAAGCGACCATTCTTCATTATTTGGGACAGTTGAGGTAGAAATTGTATATAGAAACAAATGACAAATTAATTTCAATTTGTAAAACATAGAGGTAAGAAGTATAGTTAGCTAACGTTCTCACTGATTGTTCACCTCGTTCACTCATAATTGTAACTTTACCTGTTCTTTACGTTACCACAGGTCCCTCCACAACTCCTACACCAAGCACCACAACACGACACACAGGTTTTGCTATTGTGATTTTAACCTCTGTTAACCAACGATATCTCATTGTAATATATGAACCTACGGTCTAAAATAATAGTCTTCTGTGAATTCATGAACGTCTTTTACTATAATACTCTCCACGGTATACTCTCCATATCTCAAGAGCAATTTACGTTTCTTTACCTAATCGCCGACTCCCTAGGCCTTACAACTGCCAGTACATCATCATCATCATCATCATCACCATCATCATCATCTTCATCATCATCTAGTACAACGTACAATTACATCTCCTCACAACCAGCGACATCCCCCACGCCACTCCTCACCTCCACACAATCCACCACACCAACAAGTCTTCCTCCCAACACAAGTATGGCGAGTAAGTTACTTCAAGGACATTATACAGCTGCAGTCCTTTGTTACTTCTATTTGTATGTTCGAAATGTTTGGTTCAAATGATCGACGTCGCTCATTAAGCTGGCGTCACTGTCAACAACTGATCTTCTACATCATGTCTCCCACTTAGTGACAGAAAGACCAGTAGAATACTGTCTGGAAGACTCAGATGTCGGAGGACTCACCTGGCCCCAAACAATCCAAGGAACGGCGTCCTATCACCCCTGTCCAAATGGCACCATTGGTAAGCCACGCAATATTCTAACTGTTATGGAAGACTTTTTCGCTAAATACACTACATAAAATGAATATCTAGTTACGATTAGCACGAATTCCATTAGATATGTAATTCTATTAATTTAGCTTCGTTACCATATGAAGAAAACGCATTGTGCCATTCTTCAGGTCAGATAAAGCGGGTCTGTAGCGTAGACGGTACCTGGGGGAAGCCTGATCTCTTCAACTGTACCACACTATGGATTCAGGGGCTGCAAATGTCTGTAAGTACGACAGAAATCTAACTTTGCTATTAAATAGCTTCATGCGGTACTGAAGTATCTTTAAAAGTGTGGAGAATCCAAAAGGAGAAGATAAGTCAACTAAAGAATGATTGCTATTGACAGATAACATTGTGACTGATGTTTTTCCTTTTAATTACAGTAGACGATGTTTGCAACAAATTTGGTTTATTTTTTTTGTAATTTTATCATTTTTATTCTATTTTTATTTATCAATCTACATTGTATTCAAACACAAAATTGGACGGAATTCAAACAAAACTTCATTTTTGTAGCTCGCATTAAGGATTGACCAAGAAGAGGTTCTTCAGGAGATGACTGACGGACTCGTTTCTGAAAAACCCGTGAACACATTTGACATCATCAAGATCATTGACATGATTGGGATCATCCTGGAGAGACAGGAAGACGAGATGCAGTTCAGCAACCTGACGCTAGGGGATAAAGGGGACCCAGAAGTGACAAGAGAAACGAGAGAAACTCTTTTGGACTTTGCCAAGGTTTGTGCATTTCATCCTTTAACCAGTTACTGACTGTATCATGATGAAGCAAGTAATGCACTGTAGTTTGAAGATGGCTTGCTGCTTTTGAAAGTTTGACATGGTGAATGTGGACATGTCGGAAATGTATCCATCTTTCGTATTTCACATTTCCGACAACCGTATCATCATGGACAAAGTTTAGATGTCATAGTTTTGTATTTTATGTTTATTAACCCACATGTTTATTAACCTGTCACTAGAGACAGGAATATTGCTTAATTTGTGCATATTTTTTGTTACAGAGGATTATAAAAACTTCCAGCTCCCTGCTAAAGGACGCCCTTAACGTTGACTGGATGAACATTCCTGAGGTAAGTGTTGATGATGTGACACGGCTAGCATGGGATTGTTTCACAAACAGAACCAGGATATACCATATTTGCAATTGGAAGTAATTTGATTACTCAGAGAAATCTTTACTTTTTGTTTCGTGTTTACTGATATGCATTATTCATCGTCGTTTTTCTGCGTGTATTTCTTTTAGGGACGCAGAATTAAAGCGGCTGCAGCACTTTTGGCGAGAGTAGAGAAGTTGGGGATTCTCCTGGCCTCGCTGTTACCCAATGATACCATCTCAATCATCGACGAAAACATAGGTAGGTCTGAGATCATGCATCAAACATTCCACCTGCCACCAGCCTCTCATGCCAGGCTTGCCGCTTTTGTACATAAGCAACTACCCTGGCGCAACTAATATTAGACTGCTATCTGTTTTCACAGTGATAATCAAATGCCCCCTCCCCTCCCTGTTGTTGGAAAGCTATAGCTACCAGCCAATCACATCATCGTTTGGGCAAGGTGATTGGCCGGTAAAATTTCCTCCAACATGAGGGAGAGTATCTGATTGGCTGGCCGGCGCTGGAACAGTGATGATATGAATCGCAAGCCTGTACAACTAAGTAGCTACTTGAGTTCTGGATCTTTTCATTCTATTGACGTACGACGTTTGTCTTCTCCTAGTGTTTGCAGTTGGTGTTATATTCAAGGAAGATCCCATCTCCTGATGCAACGAAGCTGGTCAATACCTCTTGGAGCGGCGTCAGGGACAGTATCACACATTCCCCACACAGACCGGCACGCCGTGGCGACACTGTACAGCACCATTCACACGTATCTAACAAACTTCAGCTCGGACAAGGGGATCGTCAATTCTCGGGTCATCTCGGCGACGATCGTGAACGGGACCATCTCAGAAGGCGAAACAATCACCATCTTCCTGAAACATTCCGAGGTAACGTATACAGTTCCAAAAGATGGTCCAAATATGACTTAACCTTAAGATTTGTATCATAAACATCACGAAAGTACTCTGAAATAACAGCATGTTTACAAAGAACTATAGCTGGATATTTCCTGTGACAAAACGGTTTTGCCTAATTAGTTCTCATCTAGCACACACAAGAGGCCATTCCGGTCCTTTCTTTGGCGTGTCCTTCTATTTCATGTCAATGTACATACGACGGTGTCCCAAACCAGACAGCTGATTTGTGAAGCACATATCACTTCCAAAATGTTTATTATTTAATGTACTGTATAATTTCCTTACAATACAATCCTCTCTACTAAATTTATTTTACAGAACCTTAACAGTTTAAAATCACAGAACAAGACAGCAAATTTTACTTCGTCCTGTAACTACTGGAATTTCAACCAGAGGTGAGTACATGTCATTGTATATATTTAGAAATGTGCATGCTAATGCAAGAAATGCCAACTGCCTGTTTAACACTGTTCATGTCCTTTCCGTACGTTATTTTACGCAAAGTT